TCTTGTCGATGTTCACCTGGAGTCCTGTCTTCACTGTCTGCTTCTTCGAACATTTTGTCGGTTTTCGCTTGTAAGTCTTCGATTTTGTGTGTGACATCAAACATAAATCGACCAGGCGCGAAATCCAGGTCTTCTAGGTTCTTCGCGTCGGTCCAGAATATCCCTGTCTTCTCGTTTCCCACTGTCTGACGCATAATCCAGTCAGTCCACCACAATTAGGAATATCATTGGTGATAATAAGCACCCTTGTCTGACTCCTGTGTTTACTCCAAACGCCTCGGTGAGCTTTCCGTTGTGGATCACTTGACATGTGCCGTTGTCGTACAGCTGTTGAATAAGGTTGATGAATATTTGGGGTACACCGTAGTACTCGAATAGTTTCCAAATTACTTCGCGGCCAACGCTGTCGAAGGCCTTCTCAAAGTCTATAAAGTTGAGGTAGAGGTTTGATTGCCATTCCATGCTTTGTTCTGTGTGATGATGATGCGTAGAGTTGCAATTTGGTCAGAACATGATTTGCCTTTCCTGAATCCAGCTTGTTCTGGTCGGAGTTCTGTATCCAGTGAGTCGTTTATTCTCTCCAGGATGATGCGACTCAGGATTTTACTTGGCGTCGACAGGAGCATGATTCCTCGCCAGTTCTTGCAGAGTGGGGCCTAAGTCTCCCTTCTTTGGTAGTTTCACGAGGTAACCTTTCCTCCAGTCAGTAGGCACCTTTCCCTCCTTCCAGACCTTTTGCAATAATGGAGTCAGCATGTCTGCTGTCGTCTCTGGGTCCGCTTTCAGTGCTTCAGGGGGTATTCCATCTGGTCCAGCTGCTTTTCCAGCTTTCAGAAGCTTGATTGCATTCAAGACTTCAGCTCTCGTTGGAGGATTGGTGTCAACTTGCAGTTGTGTTCGCGCTGTTGTTGGTATTTCTGGACGGGTTGCAGGTGATGGTCGGTTCAAGAGTCCTTTGAAGTGATCCGCCCATTGTTTAATCTGTTTTTCTTCCTTGGTAATTGGGTTCCCTTGGCTGTCTTTTATAGGTTTCGCTTGTGTTGATCTCTTCCCGGATAGAGATTTGGTTATCTGATATAGTGTCCTCAGGTCCCTTTTGCCTGCTGCCTTCTCAGCTTCAGTGGCGAGGTTGTCGTAGAATCGTCTTTTGTCCTTCCTAGCACTCTTCTTCACTTCTTTGTCCAGTGCTGTGTAAGTTGAGCTCAGCGTCTCCTTCTCCTGTCCGTCCTTGCATTGAATCATTTTCTCTTTCACCATTCTCCTCTCTTCTATTAATTTCCAAGTGTCCGTTGAGAGCCATTCCTTGTCTTGTCTCTTCTTTCTTCCTAGAACCGTTGAACACGTTTCGTTGAGAATCGCCTTCAGAGACTTCCAATGTTCTTCCACGCATGATTCTTCAGTGATGTCGCGTAGTGTTTCCTGCTTTGCTCTGACAGTTGCAGTGAAGGTGTCTTTTGTGGTTGTGTCCTTCAGTAATTGAGTGTTGAACTTGCATTGTGGCCTATCCCCAGCTATCCTCGAGGCTTTTAGTTTCACCTTGAAAGTCCCTTGTACTAGATAGTGGTCTGAACCCACATCTGCTCCTCTCCTTGACCTTGTGTCCAGTAGGCTCCGTCTCCACTTTCTTGAAATTGAGATGAAGTCTATTTGGATTTTGGTGTTTCCATCTGGTGAAATCCATGTCGTCTTGTGTATATCCTTGTGTTTGAACACACTACCACCAATCACCAAATCATTGAAGGCGCAGAAGTCTGAGAAGAGTTCACCATTGTCGTTCATTTCACCGACCCATGGTGAGTTCTCTTCCTGTGTTGTCTCCTTCCAGCTTCGCATTCATGTCGCCCATCAGGATTTTGATATCGCCATTTGGGACGTTGTCCATTATTGCTTGTAGTTGTCTGTAGAACGCCTCCTTCTTCTCTTGTTCTGAGACGTTTGTAGGCGCATAGACATTGAATGACTGTAACTTTCCTTCCTTTTGAGTTGAACCTGGCTGTCATTATCCTGGAGGAGATTGGTTCCCACTGCATGAGAGCTTTGGGTGCTGTTGGTGACATCATGATGGCCACTCCCTCGGTGTGCTCATGGTTGTCCTCTGGGTGGCCGGAACAGATTACTGTCTCTCCAGTTGATAGTTGGCACCTTCCAGTTCCGTTCCATCTGCTTTCGCAGATTCCCAACACTTCTATTCTGTACCTTCTCATTTCAGCGGCTATCTGGGCAGCCTTTCCAGTTTCGTACATTGTGCGAACATTCCAGGTACCCATCCTTACTTTTGCTTTCATCGAAAGAAGGCACATCGGCTGACTGGCTTCCCGAAGGCTTTCACCAGCCTGCGTCATTTCACTTCCCCGATTCCAGCGAAAAGTAAGGCTATTGCTTATGTTTTTAGAATTTTTAATATATTTATTCGTTGAAGTTTCTGTAGCGATTTGGTTGTTTTACGGGGGTGGAGTTGCTAGCATCACGCCCCAACCCTCCCTCTTTACCTGGGCTTGGGACCGGCGAGAAAACTAGTAAGCTAATAGCCTAGCAAGCTAGTAATCTGGCGAGGTTCCGATTTCTCATACACTTATGTAATTTGTTAACCTGACTTCAGAAATAACGTCACTGTTTCTAACATAAAAAAGCGTGTCGGTGGTTTGGCAGTAGGATGCTGGTCACCCTTGCACGTAGTGATGCGTTCGATTCCCGTCAGGTGCACAACTTTACCTCCCTCAGACTGTTATAAGTCCAACTAAGAGGGGAGGTGAGGAGTGAGACTAGCAACCCCACCCCGTAAAAGAAAAAGATACTGCTGCTACTGAAACTTCAGAGCTCAATCTCGAAGCCCAATTTCCCGCTGGGAACGTATAAGAATGTCATTCTAACATCGCAAACACGGTAAGTTGAAATCTAGGAAAATACTAAAAAATTACAACTGACAAAATAAAGGGGTACAGAACAAGTAGAGAAATTAATAATTCACAATCGAAATAGACAAACAAAAATGTGACTATAAGGTCACTGTTATATACTCTAATGCATGTTAATAACAGCACATTTATGATATCATGACTACGGTTTGAGAAACATATAGCACTTATGAATTGCATATAAAACTGAAGTCAACGTGTTAGCTGTATTTCTTATGAACTGTAAGAAGCTAATTAGTGAAAGGAAGAAAGAACAAATAAAATGAAGGTAACTAAAGGTCTAATTCATATGCATCACTGTGACCATTTACGTGTTCCATCGTCTAATCGTTAAATGGAAATTCCCAGCACTTCGGACAAGAACTGTACATTCCCGAATATGCCTAAGACTTCAAGTCAATGATTTCGTAGGCCAATAATAATATTGTTTAATCTTTGTTGTTCTCACAATAAATACATTCATGTTAACTCTCATAGTGTTTAACTTTGACACTTATTATTATTATTATATTATTATTGTTCAATTGGGTTCCAGGTGGAACATATAGCCTCAACAGCACCTCCCCATTTGGTCCTATTCTTGCAGTCCTCTTCATCTGGCCTCGCAATCGCCCATTGTTTCTCATCTCTTCCTCGCACGATCTCCTCCATATCACCCCTAAACGCCCAGATTACCATTTCCTCTTTGGGTTCCAGTTGAACTATGTCACCCAACTGTCTCTTCAACATGTGTCCAATCCATTTCCATTTTCTTCTACATATTTGTTAATCAACCGGTTCTCGATTAGTTCGTTCCTAGAGTTTCATTAGGCTAATTCTTTCTGACCATCTGGTCTTCAGTATGGAGCCAGTGAAGGCGACTGTTAAGGAAAGTCTGCAACCTGTTAAAAATGCTATTCATCACGTACCAAGTCTCTGATCCAACCATACAGAAGAATTGACTTAACACTTGTGTTGGAAAATCGAGTCTTGTTCTTAATGACGAGTACAGAAGATTTTCAGACTGATTTCAGGGTGATGAAGATTTGTCTTGTCCTTCCGATTCTTGTTTTACATCCTCATCCATCCCATCTGTAGTTGAAATAAGCGAACTCTTTGAAATTTCCTCCGTCGATAGTGACTGCTGTTTGTTGATTTTGGTTGGTTATCTTTATCACCTCCATCTGCTCTACGTTCACTTGGAGTTCTGTCTTCGCTGCTTCTTCAGACAGTTTGTTACTTTTCGCCTGTAATTCTTCCAGTTTGTGTGATATTAGGCAAAAATCCTCCATGAAGTCAAGATCTTCTAGAGTCTTTTTTACAAGTCCGTGGTACTCCTGTCTTCTAGTTCTCCAGGATCTATTGCATGAGACAGTCCACCATAATGAAGAATATCATCGATGGTAATAGGCAGCATTGTTTTACTCTCGCACTTCACTTCAAAGGCCTCACTGAGTTTTTCGTTGCGGATCACCTGACTATTACCACTTTCATAGTGCTTACAGAAAGGATGCTTACTAGAATTCGTTGAAATAAGCAAACGCCCGGCATGTTTCTGATTTCTGACAGGCAATGAAGAGTGATGTATAGTATTATCACTGTGATGATGGTCAGTGAGATGTCTTTTTTTTTGTTTGTATTACCTAAAGAAGATGAATTTCCACTAATCCCTGTCTGTTAACAATCTCCAAATAAATTTTTGTAACCATATTATTATTAGAGGTGCTATGTTGTAGAGGGATCTCGGTCAGTGGGAACCGGACTGATCATATATTCATATGAAATGCCTTTTGACAGATCAAAAGACTTAATTATCATTTCCATACGTTTAGCTCGCTATGTAGATGCAAATCTGTAAATCTGTGAAATAATAATTCCCATCTGGTTAATGCTAATTAGTTGCATATGTACATACAGACTCCTCTACAGAAAGTATCATAATTTGTTATGTTTGTGATAACTAATACAGAATTTAAGAATAGGGCAAGTAACTTAATGTTAGCTGCAACCTGTTTTACTAATAGTTAGTTTAGTCAGGCAAATCGATAGAAAGCAGATCGAAGAAATTTGAATTATTGTTATTTCCATAATTATAGTAAAACACTATAATTTGGATATTTTTTTCTCGTTTGGACATGATATGAGTTCTGAACAGCAACTTATTGTGCCTGATTCTAGTTTAATAAAATACAAGTCACCTGTACGCATAACTGATAAACTAGATTTACAAAAGTATGACCAAAAGAGTGATGAACTTTCTATTTTGAGAGAATCCCGTTCCCAGTCGTCTGCGGGACCACATTATAATAATAAAACTGGTGTCCTCTCTTTAATTCCCACTCTAGACCCGAATGCCGCAAGAACAGTTGAGTCAGCTGAAGGAATTTTACGCAGTATTATGCCACCAAGACGTTTTGTCATCGGGAACAGTCTGTATGTACAAGAAGTGTCGTCGTGTCCAGCTTCTCGTATAGATGTCATCCAACTTATACAACAATTAGACCAACAGCTTGAATTACGTGGTGCTAAAATGACTGGTATCTGTCCAGTTCGTAGGGAACTATTCACACAGGTATGTGAAAAACATAAAGAATTGTCCTCACAATTTATTTTACAATAAATTTATCTTTCTATAAACTTAAACTGTCAATTTTAATTTATTTAAGTCAAACCATATCTGGCGCCTTAGTAGTAGAAAACAGATTAAGGTAGTATTAAAGAATGAGTGATTGTACAATTTTTTATAAATTATTAAAAATCACTTTGAATCCTTTGTAGCATAACAACTGTTTCTGGTCTTATTTTCGAACACTATGATATTTTGTTTTCTAACTATGGACATACGATACGCCATAGTTTTATGTGAGCTGCTGGATTGATTTGACCATATGTTTGTTTACTGATTGTAATAAATTATGTCACACAGAGTTAGAGAAAAATTTCAAAAGAATTATAAACAGCGGAAATGTACTGCAGGAACAATAACTTAATAGAGAAATATGAGTATATAGTGAATCCGGGAGTTTACTAAGGGTGAATGCATATGCACCGTTGAATATGATTCTTACCCATTTCACCAACAATCTCCAGACATTGGTTCTTGGCGTCTGGAGGATCCCGACCAGTCAATCTACATCTCTCTCTACGTGGCTCATACCCACAATAGAGGGCTTCATGGACTGATGCCAAGTTTTGGTTTGATTACGGCTAGCTCTTCTCCAACCCAATCCTGTATCAGTTAACACTGCTCAGTGAGAAAGGCTGTGAATCGACATGCATAATACGTGTCATAACCAACTCAGTGGATGTAGCTTCACAACCTTATCGACTAATTTTTCCTCCTTACTTAATACTTGATGCCCAACCTCAATATTACTCACTATATTAAACCATTTAACTTGGGTGATAGAAGGCAAACACCTGTGGTCAAAGACAACTAACCTTTTCAAGTCCTCCACTTTCAACGGTCACGTCCTACAGCCACAAATAAAGACAGAGAGAACTGGTGTGTATCACTCACGTCGTTTAGTCAATAGGCAGATATCACGTGTACGCGAAAAATGGCGTAAATAGGCAAGTGCCAGACAAGCCTTCGGTATCTGCTCTAAGATTTCATCAGCAATCAGTCGATTAGGGTTGATGCAGCTTTCCAAATAAGTGAAGTGGTCTGTGCGTCGGTGGCACAGTAGTTAGGACTCTCGCCGACCATGAATATGGTCCCTGCCTAATATCTATGGTCGGCCTGCAAAATTTGGGCTACCGATATCCATGCTGAAAATTCCATACTTGTACCAAAAATGCAGTGTGGAATCAAGCTGTAAATCAAAAATAAAATAAAAAGTCGGGCATTTCTAAAGAACAACACTGGTTGTCCTTACTTCAAATAACAACTCCATAAACTGCTACACGACTGCATGTGTTCTACTAGGGTACACTGATTAATAAGATATACTTTATCGGCACCCCTCCATGACCAGATACTGTTACCTCTTGATTGATGCCTTTAGGTCAAGAATATGGTAAGTTTTGGACCATCGAAGATTATTCAAAAATCCTCGATATAAGAATAAAACTTGTGCATTGTGGTAGAGTGTAATTCCATTATGGGTAAAATTTGTTTTGATGATGTCCCACAGTGTTATACAGTAATGTTTACTGATGACGTTTCGAGCACAATTTTTTGCCACTCATAATCATATCAGGGCATTACTCACACAACTTTCTATCTTCATTTATATAGTTCCATTATTTTTCACTTGATTTTCGCTTGATTTGATTGGTAGTGGTATTTTCCATATTTCGGGTATGAGTGATGAACCATTTCTATTGCATGTGTTGGGTGTAGACTCAATGAACAAGGATTCAGTAATCAACCTCTCTCTCCACCTACCTAGATTACTTTTTAGAATTTTAACCCTCTCCCACCCTATTGTGTGGTTGTTTGTTATTGAGTGAAATGCAATAGCTGAGCTTTTTCTAAACTTCCTCCATGCAATCAAACAAAATCCCTACAAAACCAATACTTGAAAATTAGTCTGATGCTCACTAGTGACTGGCCCTATTCAGGCAGTTAACCTGGGGTTCTAGTGGGAAGCCGTGACCAGTAGGGTACAGCAGGTTGAAGATGAGGCAGTAACTCATCGAAGAAGACATTGCGAAGTGGTCGCGCTATGTTGTGAATTGCCAGAAGTTAGAATTCAAGGACCATCGGATTGTGTCCCAGTGGTTCAATGGTCTACGAGCTCGCCTTGTAACCAGGAGGTCCTGGGTTCGAACCCCGGTGGGTGCGTACTGATGAAGAGTCCCAAACTAGGACGAAACAGCTGCCCAGTACTCCCAGGTTTTCCAGTGGTTCTCTAACTGATGTCAGCTCATGATGAAATCCTCCATGCAATCAAACAAAATCCCTACAAAACCAATACTTGAAAATTATTCAAATTTATCAAAGGGACTAATTGATTTAAGGATTCGGTAATCAACCTCTCTCTCCACCTACGTAGACTACTTTTTAGAATTTTAACCCTCTCTCACCCTAATGTGTGGTTGTGTGTTGATGCATGCATTACAATTGCTGAGCTTTTTTCTAAATTACTTATCCTTGTTCATTGAGTCTACACCCAACACATGCAATAGAAATGGTTCATCACTCATACCCGAAATATGGAAAATACCACTACCAATCAAATCAAGCGAAAATCAAGTGAAAAATAATGGAACTATATAAATGAAGATAGAAAGTTGTGTGAGTAATGCCCTGATATGATTATGAGTGGCAAAAAATTGTGCTCGAAACGTCATCAGTAAACATTACTGTATAACACTGTGGGACATTATCAAAACAAATTTTGGCCATAATGGAAAAAATCCTCGACTTTTTGAATACATCTAGTGTTGGTGATGGTCTAAGTTTGGCTGACTGGTTCCAATGTAATAGGATAATAACTTAAGTTGAAATGGAAATCTAGACTGGTGAATACCCCTAGCATACTGATGCTTTAGCTTGAAACTTTGGATAGTTTTAAATAACTGTAGTTTTCCAGTCACGGAAAGAAGAGTTGAACAAAAATAGAGCTATCTCAAAATAAGCAAAATGCCGTGACCCGATATTTACAAATCAGACACAGTCAACAGACTCTGATCATTAGTTGAGAACTACTTCTTTTTTAGCAGTTGTTAAACAATTAGCCTACACGTACACAAGTTTCATATTTAAATGTAATAATCTTTTATATAAAAGTTGAGAAACGGCTTTGAATTGTTCGTAATAATAATGCGGCGCAATGCAGACATAAAAAAGGTGTATAATTCAAAATAATGGCAAATTCTGAAGGCATGAAGGGCGGAGAAAGTAGAGTTCGATAGTAAGAGGTAATAAAATGTAAAAAAAACATGATTATTGATACAAGATACACTTGTGTTTAATTTCACCTTCCTCTCTGTATTTCTGTACTAGTGGTTACAAACTTTTGGTAATATGACTCAAGGTCTTTCTGCATAGCACACAGATGTTTCAATGTTTCAGATTTTGAAAATTCTCCTTATTATTCCTGTAATTGCATTTTTCCGTTCATTATAGTTCCATCGCATTTCTTTCTCTGTATTTATGTGGATTTTTATAAAGTAGTATGGTTGTGTGCAAAGTTCTGAGTTGATAATTAGGTTCAGTTCTATATTTCTGTTAATGATGAGTGAAGTTTGACAGATAAGTAGATATTCTCTCCCTTATTTAACCAGTCTTTATAAGAATATATCTTTTTGTAATCTAGTCCAGGTTAAATGTAATATGAATATTCGTTAAAATAACTTTATTTTTGGGTACAGAACTTATTTCTAAGATTGAGAGTATCTATAAATAGATGCACTGAAAATATTCATCAAAGTATAAGTAAATTTGAAATATGAAGAGAGATATAAAATAAACTACTTCAGACACCCTAATCAGCAAACCAATCTCCCAGTGTGGTTACTGAGCTAAGTAACACGACACTGATATGAATTTTGGTGTATCATTGGTGTAGTGTTAGCAGGGATGTGTTGGTCAAACAGAGCTCAACTCTGAGCAGCATGCTGCTTTTTATAATTAGATGAATGTCTCTTTGAAGCCATAGATAAAATAAGTTAGACTTTTGTGTACTGGCTGAAATAATGTTAGAAATCAGCCTTTTAGGAAAGACAGGAGATCCTGCATAAATCACAAGGTCTACAGATTCAAACACTTAACTTAGTCTTCTTAATCTAGAGGTTATTTCAAATTAACCTCATGATATAATTTTACATATGCCAATAGAATGTATTAAGCATTTATAAATACACTAACATCTGAAAATCTCCACCGGCATATCACAGAAGTTAAGAAATATGCTTCGTCAGATCTTCAACAAAATACTCACATTTAATGAGTAATATACGTCTTCATTCTTACACTGTAGTTTGTAGTGTGTTACTACAACATAACTTGTGGATACATACTTCATTCTTTGAAATAACAGCATTGGAGGTCTATTTGAATCACTGGGATACCTAACGCAATGCATTACATCTTCTTTAATTCTTATTGTCTTACACATTCATTAATGTACTTGAGTAGCAAAATGTACTCATGTATATTTCTAATTAGCTTTCTAACTACAGGTGGGCATTACGTGGAGACGCAGGAAAAATATCGTAGGGGATTAGTCTTTGCTTCAGATCTAAGAGTGCTGAGTCACATAATATACCACAGACCTGTTTTACTTGGAGATCCTAGATGAGGAAAAAATATCATGCAATAAATTACGCTGAGAATTTTACGCTGTAAACTGTAAACATTTTCTTCAGAATAAAGTTGTCCATTTATTATTGTACATGATTCACTCTAAATTTAATTTTTCCTAGAAAGCTTTGTGCTACTGATTATTTGTCAATAGTTAGAGTTAAAATCATGAAAAGATGCAATTTCTGAACATGCTCGATGTGAAATTACACGTAACCATTGGTAAAACAAATATATTTTGGAGATCCTGACAATAAACCTTGCTTAAGTAGCTTTAAAAATGACCTTTATTAGGCGAGATATATAATGAGGTTGCGTTTAAGATAATACTGATGTGATTAGTGTATGTCTTTCTGTAAGAGGAGTTCATTCTAATGCTATCAATGATAATCATTCGGGTCTCCCAGTAATGTCAGTCATTTGTTAGCATTTTCTGAATAGGCTAGTCTAAAAGATACAGAGTATAACTGTCGTTAGGTTTTTATTAAACGCCTAGATACTTTCCTGCTTAGGTTTCAAAGACAACTGATATTGCGATATTTTTACTCTTATCTCTGACTTGTTATTATTACGTCCACTCTCACTATGGTAACTTATTCTGATATACTGTTGCATCATATCTCATGGAATATTTGTTCATTTGTCTGCTGAGATCGGTCTCTTTCTACAGTATATTCCGTATTCGAACACCTTTTATTATCTATGACAGTCGATCATCCTAAGATACCTAATATGAGCAAAAGCAGGAGATTAAGCTAAATTTTGTGGTTTTGTGATATGTTTTTGGTAGCTTTTAAGACACTTAATGATATTTTTTGCTGTATATCACAGGTCTGCCTACCATCTGCCTTTGTGTTGTATGTTGCTGCAAATAGGATTTAGTTGGAAGAAAGTGAAGGGGGGGAAGAACCAATAAATGGTACCAACCAATAAAGTCATTGATTGTTTATTTGAACTGCACAAAATTGTTGGTTTCCCGTCTTTGGTTTGCCTATTGAGTAGGATTTGTAGTCAAGGGACCTAGACAGTATGAATCAGAATCCATTGTATACTTACATTCATACCTTGTATTTTCTAATTCGTAACATTTTTCACTGTCTCACCTTTTCTTTTTAAAACATATGGGATCTGATAAACTCAGACTGTATCGTTTTCCTTTCTGTATTCTTTCCGGGACTATTTGATGTTCAGATAAAAGGTATGGCAGACTGAATCCCTTTGGTACAATGCCTTGTCTTCTGATGTTAATCTCTGTGTATCTATCCTTTCTAAAAGAAATCATTAGATTACACTGGTCTGATAAGAGCTGGCAATCTCATTGAACAATATGCTTCTTTTGTCTGAAATTTGAATCCAGAATCACTAACAGCCGAGTATGCATCTGTAAGATAGTATAAATCTGGAACAGATTAATCTTGGTTCGATAAGAGATGATTTAAACGGCAGGTACAATCCAGCTAGCACCTGGCACTACTGCGCGATAAATTAATGCTAAGATGTTTTATAATTAAGCAAATAGGTTTTCCGTCTAAGCTTACTTTCATTTCTCACCATTTTCCGCGAAAATTAATGTCAACCCACTGTTTTAAGAGCATTTTAAATAGTGAAGTTGAAAATCATACCAGATTACTTCTAAATTATGTCACACTCAGGTTACTTTCCATATTTGATTACCAGGGACTGCGATCACTAGAACTACCACAGTGGTGGTTATTTTAAAATCATTGTTTATTTTATACAGTTACCATAATAATTAATCCAATTCTTACTTTGTTAATTGAATGTATACAAATTACAGGTGTTTGATGAACTCATACGTCAACTAACAATACACTGTGCTGAAAGAGGTTTACTTTTGCTAAGAGTACGCAATGAGGTAGCAACGACTTTGGCTGCTTTACAGTCAATCTATGCTTCGGGAGTTGTATTTGGTTTGCAAAAGTCGGTAGCACGTGAAGCCGATCGTAAAAGGCAGAAAAGTCGAATTAGCACCTTAGAAAAAGAAATAGGATCATTAAGAAAGAAGATACAAAAAGAAGCACTCAACTGTCGGGCACTCGAAGAGAAAGAAGCTAACAGATTGGCTGCTGCAACTCGTAGAGCTGAAGAGGATGCTAATTTTCTAAGAAAAGGTCATGATCAACTAAAAACACAACTAGAAGATATTCTGAACCAATTTAAACTTGCATCACCTTAAATGGTATTATTGTATAACAGATTACTGGAAAAAGAAAACTGTAGCTTCTTTCAATAAATTGATAATGTATTATCATTTGCTTCGGTGAGCTTGATGTTAAACCTCAAGAAGTCGTTGAGCTATTTCATTGCTACAGGATGATTGTAGGTTTGCAACAATTTAAATATTTTCAGTCATAATGGTAATATTTAAAATATATTATCAGTCAAAAGTCTTGTTTTTCTTCAGTTATTAGCATAATAATGACTTTTGTGATGACCTGAAAGCCTAAATAATAATAATAATAACATCTTTATTCTGGACCACATTTATAAAATGTACAAAATTTTCAAAGGAGTTTATTGCACTATATTTTCCCTTCGTACAATCAATATCTTCAAGTAAAATATTAATTGACATTATATCCTGTGACACAATGGTCTCTGAGCTGAAGCACAAAGTATTCCATTATGATACATCTGCTTTGCCTCCCTCAAGGAATTCACGATATCTAGTTGAAAGCCAATTGTAGGATGTTCAGAAGTACATTTTGAGACCAAAGGACATAACTGACGAACAGTTATCTCATGTACTGCAACACACTGTCACTCACAATCAAGCTTTTCCTCAAGTTTAGTAGGAACCTGAGAATCAGAAGCTTGTAAACATTCTTAATAGACATAAGAGTAGATAATACCATTTTAGAGGTCATATCTTAACGGACATATCTTAATAACAAACCGAACAAGAGAAAGTACATGCAATAGAGCGATCGAAGTTTTTGGTAGCCCAAGATTTAAGCATGCCACCTCAACATACCAAGATAGTCTATTGAGTTTAAGCTACTGCACTTTTTATTTGATCTAAAGCTTTTAGACTTGTTTCTTGGTGAGATAGCCAGTACATATTGATAATTAAAAGTGAGAGTTATCCAATCCAGATTTTTTGTAGTTCTTTAAAGGCCCCCTAATTGATGCCTTTTATTGATATTTCTCCATGTGAAACGAAGTTCAGACAAATTAATGGATACAGTGAAATAAAGGGACTTACTAGGTGGAAGAACGTTTTGAGACGAAATTCAGTTTAGCAACGTAGAACTGTACTCAAAGATGAGTCATTCCAAGTTGCCCTACATCAGAGAAACTATTAATACGGTAGAAAAAGAAGTGTAATTAAACTGCAATCAATGGGGAAGTGCTAGAATGAATAATTAAATGGAGGTTAGTGAACATTCTCAGAATTTGGATGACAACAATGGAGTGAATACATCTGCACTATTGTAAACAATTTCAAGTGATTGTGTTAATACCTTCCAGTGGTAAATTTCTAGCATCTGGATGACTCCAACCAACAGTCAGTAACCCCATAGATTAGTACTGTGTGTAATTCAGACCAATCCTAACGTATTTTAACATAATCGCAGTATTAATTTGTCGAACATTATCCATAGAGAAAGGCGTTAGCTCACCTAGACAACCCGAAACCATCGAGATCCCTAATCTCATCAACTGGTCTCCCTTAATTTTATTTTAATTTTTTAAATTACTGTTTCATCTGTTTTTTTTTTAAATTAATGTTCCATCTAACGTAAGCAGTTACAAGAAGACACTAATAACCAAATACCTCTAATCATTTCACATCTTGCATCTTATGTAGCCAAGTCTTACAGCTTTATATCAAGGGTGAATAGACTAGTGCTTAGCGTATACGCCATCTGATACTAGACGGATATCACGTCTGTAGTATGCAGTGAATAAAGCGTTTGTAGCTAACCAATCCATTAGGGTCGAATAAGAGTAGCGACCTACACGTTTAACTGTTTCACTTGGTATTCTTAAACCGGAAGACAAAGTAGAGCAGTCGTGAAGCATCATTTTAAATCTGACAGGGGAGAACCACATACTAAACCCATTCATATATCGGTTCAAAGTGTTCAGAAGGTCCTGGGTTCGAATCCCAGTGGGTGCATACTGATGAAGAGTCCCAAACCAGGACGAAGCAGCTATCCAGTACTCCCAGGTTTTCCAATGGTTCTCTAACCAACGTCAGCTAATGATGAAATCCTGTAAGTTTAGAAGACAGTTAGTTTTTTCAGTATCCTCACCTAAAATGCCTACATAATTTAAATACATTAAACCAACAAGACCTTCTCTTGGTAATAGGTCAGTCACAGAGATATCGAAGTCATCGTTTTATGAAGTGGTCATATTAAGTATAGGGTAATGTTTTTTTTCTCCTTAAATTAACAAAAAGACCTAGTAGTAGGAAGACTGATAAGAGTTAAGAGTGTATCCTTAACTCTTGAAAAGAAACAATTTAGTATGCTACTTCTATGAAACCTTAAAATGAGCACAGATAAACAAAACACTACCTTCCTAAATGCCTTCTATAACCAGAAACTTTTCTCAAATTCTTAATATAGATGTATGTGATGGAGGTGCATGGATAAATAAGCTCATATTTGTTATTTCTACTTTTTTTTACTGTGTTGAATAAGAATGCTGTGAATTAATCGTATTTCATCATCTTACTTTCTAAACAGAAACTGATATCCACTGACTAAATGATAGGAAAAATTTCATATAATTATTACCTTTTATAAATTTGAACAAAGAAAGAAGAAACATTGGCGCAGAATAATCTGAAACCATTTTATTTCGTTGTCTGTCTGTCTGTTTTCGACATAGAACTTTGCACAAATGTGCGGAAGTTCAAGTCGCCACACTCCGTGTAGCACGCGAAGCAAGAGAAGAAAGTACAAGAAAAGCATAATAGAAACAGTGAGCAGAGGTGAGAGACAAAGGAGTAATAAAGAAATACAAAACAGTTTCATTGAAGATCATAAGTCACAGGGAGTGGATGCATCTGCGCTAGCCACTGAGAACGATTTTGAGCCATGTCACCAATTGTTTCCAACCATAGATTTTTACCGTCCCGAGGACCCCAGCCTGGAAGTCTACACCTTTCTACGTGGCTTAGACCAACTGTTGTGGATTTCATTGACTGATGCCAAGTTTTTGTTTGACCGCCGCTAGCTTTTTTCCAGCCTGACCCTATATCCGCTAACATAGCTCGTCGAGGGAGGCGATGGCTTGGCATACGTAACACATGTCCTAACCATCTCAGTCTTTGTAGCTTCACGACTTCGTCGTTGGTTCTCATCAGGTGCGTACAACCTGGGTTTTTTTAATAACGATAAAAAGTGTACAATTTTAACAAACCTTTTTCTATTAGCAAGCATACTTTCAGAGCGTCATAGTAAAATAAGGCGTTGAGATTTACAGGGTGTCTAAAGTGTTACGACATACACATATATATCTTGGTAGAGAGAAGTTTCTTGAGAAAAAATTTACTAACTGTTGTGTTGTTGGGGTGGTTACAAAAGAAAATTAGCAATAGTTAGGTAATTAGATAAGAGAAGATCAAAATTTTACAATTTCGGTATACATGAGGTCAGATGAGAAGTTGATGATGTAATACAGTGAGCAGAACTCAGAAGATCAAAAAGAAATTATCTCCTAAGAGAGTGAAGCGAAAAATAAAGGGGGAGGGGGTGGAGTGAAAGGGTCAGCTAACAAAATTAACAAAGTTAGAAAACAAAAAGTTACTAAGAGGTGAGTCACTAGGGTAATTGAAGTCCAACAACGGATTCTTTTTGGACACATAAATCAGGCTTCAATTGTTTTATTGCTATAGTTTCAGCAAACCTGAGAAGACTTTGGGTACTTTCTTTGTTAATTATTTTGAATGATTCTAGCACATCTACTCGGTGTCCTGTGTCAATCAGGTGTTTGGCGATTGAAGAGTTTAAACAATTCGGTCCCTTTAACCGGACAAATGACGATTATCATTCCTAAACGTACTAGAACATAACAGAATATTTTCCTGGTGTAAAATTAGAGAACATGACACAATGAATATGTTGTGACTCTGTTCACCGAAATTCTGGATTAAATGTAACTGTTAATAAAGTTAATGAGAGAAATCAGTAGACTGAAAGCCAAAGCCATTATCACAACTTCCACTTTGAATAAATAAGCCATTTCAAAAAACATCAAATTGTTAGTTTCGTAAAAAAAAAATTAAAGTCAGGATTTGTGTTATCCTGAGCCGTAAGAGCCAGCAAATATCAGCTTCCCATATAAAGCCGAGGTTTTAAGAACCAGAACATTTTTATGAATTTATTTGATTTTAAAGCAGTTTTCTTTAGTGAATCAAATTCAGATTCGTACTGTTCTAATTAATGTGTTTTCATTCTTCAACAGGAAAGTTTATTTGTAAATATAGGTGTTAGAAAATGTGTTTCTTTTGTACAGCAAGGGTGAGGGAGACAATCCGATCTAAAAAATTAACACGACACGAGAAAATTCGACGGATGTATTTTATTAATTCTCTTTAAAAGGTTAACCTTACTATTAAACTTAACAGGGACAATATTAGATTTATTAATTATACACAGAAATAAATTTGCCAACATTTTCATTGTCTAATTATTACGGATATATATTTTTTCTTCGTAAAAACAAGTGATGGAGTTAGCGTAACGTCTGTTTTAAAATTTATTTCAACTATAGTTCTTTATTTATTATTTTTTGTCTGAATGCCTCATATTGACAGGCCGATGAACGCTCATCTTATACAACACCAGATATATTTAAGTTTTTGTAAGTTTGTGTATTACCAGTGTATACAGGGAAAACAACAAGCGAGATCAATAAACTGCTCCCCTGTGATAGAAATTTGAAAATTTCTAACTGAACCTGACGTGGCAATCAAATATTATACAAAAGGATTGGAAATTTCTCTAAAGTTCAGTGTGAAATACACATGTGGCTGCTTAATTTTTTTCAAACAATAACATTAATCAATTTTGCTTTTCTCTCTCGGTATGTTTTTTTTTCTTCATTTTCTCTCCTCTTTACCTATCTCTTACTAACTAATCGTGTTATGTGACATCACTGCGGGATATATTCGTAAGACAGTGTGAAGATTCCATGAAATTTGCTTCTATCTACTGGCTTTTCGTTCTGTTTAGCTATTTATCCAGCATATACCCCCCACCCCAAACACTCACTCCATCCACTGTATTCATTCAAAAGTCGTGTTTAACTACTCTACTTTTAGTTTTATCCCACAACCGACTACAGAGTGTTTAGTCACACTGAAACAGTTTGTTATGAATATTTTTTTTTAGAAATAGAAACAGATAACAGTCTGCT